GTGGAAAATAGATCCTTGGGATAATGCATCCCAAATTCTGGGTTAACACAAAACTTTGAGTGATTCCAGCCCTGGTTTAGGTTTGCATGTTTTGATATCTTCAGCTTCAGGATGTCACTTGTGTTTGCCATGATGCCACCACACTGCAGTGTCAAGATCTAATGAACCAACAATTAAGTACAGAACTCAGGGTAGTAAATGTTATTTCATCATATGGTAAGATGAAAATGTCACTATCTAAAAGCAAACAGTAGCTGCTTGAAAATGTTACTATTTTTGGTTATTTTTGGTGCAGCGGAGGGCAGTGCCAAGCTCCTGGGAGAGGTTTATTCCCTAGGGAGGCTCAAACAGGTCTTTCATGCACAACAGGCAGAGTTAGTGTTGAAGATGCCCCTTTTTCATGACCAGTGCCTCCAAACTGGATTTTATATTGAGATTCCCAAGCACTTACACAGATGTCATGACCATAACAACCTTTCCTACCTCTGGTGCTGCTCTTCACATGCAGCCTCCTCCAGGTCCTTCAGCTGCTGCCAGCAGCACCCAACACAGCCCTGCTGTCAATACTCATTAGGCACTGACATGTGAGAGCTGTCCTAGCTCATGGGTTTAATGGCCTTCCTCAGTGCATTTATCCTTATCCAATTTGTAGATTTATTATTACTCCTCATTATCCATTGTGTTGGCTTGATTTGTTTGCTGGACACTGATTACACCCTGGATGCCTCCAGGTGCAGCGAGCTGCACTGCAACATCTCTAATGAGAAGCCTGAAGGGAAGGAAAAGCCTCTCCTGTGTTACACCTCTTTTCTCTAATCAGGATGTAACAACTTCATCCCCTTTCTCTTCACTTCTCCCGCTCGATAGCTCCTGTAAATCAGGTTATCTGCTGGTTCAGCACCTTGCAGAGCTGATCTGCTGCCCAGGGACAGGCAGCACTCAGCACTGCCACCCTTCTGCTCAGCCCTGTGCTGGGCACGGCTCTGCCCAGCCAAACGTGGCACAACCTGGCATGAGGAACAGCTGGCAGGGTCCTTCCATGCTCAGCACCTGGAGAAGGATTTTGAGCTCCAAAAACGTGGCACAACCTGGCATGAGGAACAGCTGGCAGGGTCCTTCCATGCTCAGCACCTGGAGAAGGATTTTGAGCTCCAAAAACGTGGCACAACCTGGCATGAGGAACAGCTGGCAGGGTCCTTCCATGCTCAGCACCTGGAGAAGCATCTCCAGCTCCAGAACACACAGCAGTGCCCACAGGAGAACCTTTTCAGAGCTGCCTGGTGCCTTCAGCTCACCCCTCCCCAGCCTCCTCCTCACCTTCAAGCACCCCTTCAAGCATCACATCCAGTTATGTGGAACTTCTGGAAGTCAACCCCACAAGAATACTTTCCTTTCAGTTTGCTTATGATGCTTTCCCTTTCCTGCAGCCTGGCAGGTGTGAGGGTTGATGAAAGCAGTCAGGAACAGGGTCATGCCCTAATGATTTTGCTTCTAATCCTCACAGACAACACACCCAAAATGATTCTCACATTAGAGAAGAGGGCAACAGCACTTGGAGAGGTGACAATCAGTCCTGGTAGCTCTGCCAAAGCCAGTGGTAACAATTTGTGGCAGCTCTGGGAAGGACACAAGACCTCAATGATCTTCATTTTTAAAATTGCTGGGTTTTTTCATTTCCTTTCCTCTACTGATGCTTCTTTCCTTCCGTTCATACTTTACCAGCTGCTAGAGGTAACAGCAATTTTCCTTACTGTACATCAAGCAGGCAATTCATCTCTCTTTTGGGAGCCCAGAAATCCAGTGGTAGGAAAGCAGGGCAATATTTTCCTCCCCCTTCTCTATTCCTTCAGCTCTTTCATCAAGATTTTCCCATTCATATTGTTGTTGGTAACATAAGGCAAACCTGAAACCCTTTATGAGAGGAAATCAAAGTCCTGCAGCAAAAGGGCTGAACACTCCCAAGGGTGATGCTGACCAACTGCTTGCATTTTCTGGTTTTGCAGATAGAAAATGCCTGTGAAGACCTACCAGAGGTGACACAGCAGGACAGGAACAGGACCTACAACCTCTCAGGATGGTTTGGACTGTTCCCACCACACTCTTGTGCTTACTGGGTGCAGGAAAGGAGGAGCTGTGTTTATCCACACGGTGCTCCTATGGCATTAACGCACTGCCCTGCACCACCCTCCTCACCCCTGCCACACCAGCCATCCTCCTGACCTTACTGGTGCTCCTGGGCTGATAAATGCACAGATACAGCACCAGGATGCTGAATGAAGACACAATTTAAGAACGTGGATAAATTCATGTACACAGTACCAGGATGCTGAACTAAGACAATTAAAGAACATGGATAAATTCACAGATACAACACCAGGATGCTGAATGAAGACACAATTTAAGAACATGGATAAACTCATATACACAGTACCAGGATGCTGAACGAAGACAAAATTTAAGGGCAGGGATAAGTTCACACATACAGTACCAGGATGCTGAATCAAGACCATTTAAGAACACAGAAAAATTCACACATACAGTACCAGGATGCTGAATCAAGACCATTTAAGAACACAGATAAATTCACACATACAGTACCAGGATGCTGAATCAAGACCATTTAAGAACACAGACAAATTCACACATACAGTACCAGGATGCTGAATCAAGACCATTTAAGAACACAGACAAATTCACACATACAGTACCAGGATGCTGAATCAAGACCATTTAAGAACACAGACAAATTCACACATACAGTACTAGGATGCTGAATTAAGACAATTTAAGGACACTGATAAATTAACAGATACAGTACCAGGATTCTGAATGAAGACACAATTTAAGATCACGCTTTCACTTGCCATGATTTGTGGCTATGAGGTCATTGAGACCAGTCTGCTTCCCTTTTGCCAGAGAAGATTTGTAGCTATTATTTCCCACCCCCCCAAGCAATGATCACATGCTGTTTGCTTCAGCTCTGCATGTTGCAATACCTCAATGAATAATATACAAGGAGCAGAAAATAAACAAGCCCACTGTGCCCGGGGATAACGTGTGGTGTGTTTTTCTTTAGGATGATTAAATGTGAGTGCATGTCATAGGATGTAGGGCTTGCTGTGCTGGGAGCCCAGGAGGATGAGAGCACACAGCTCTCTCCAGGCAGGCAAATGGCCCTGGAGAAGGTTAAGGGGGCCCCCAGGCAGGCCCAGCATATGCACTGCTATTCCCTGGCTGCTCTGCTCTCTGGGCTCTCTCTCCCCAGACACAGACACTCCACGGGTTCCTGGCTCACACCCCACCCCTTCCACACCTCAAAGCTGCTCTGAAGACATCAGATTCCCACCACAGAAAGGGAAGCTCCATTCTTTGCCAGCCTTTCACCAGCCCTCTGCTGATGCCTTCAGTTTTAGCTTTCATATTTTTTTTACATTCTGTACTGCCTTAATGTGTAACTCTGAACGCCATATAAAGTGTTAGCAAGCTCTCCTCACAGTTCAATAGACAGAACAACCCTTTTCCAGCCCCAGAACCAACCTGTGTCAGCCTGTGCATTCCAGATAAATGTTCCCAAAACTAAAGGCAATCCTCTCTCTGTACACAACAGCGAGTCACACAGGCAGCTTCCAACATCCCCCATTCCCATCCCTGTCTCCTGCACCTCTCAGCCAGACTCATTTCCGAGCAAAGAAACACAGCCCCAGATTTCAACAAGCTTGTTGCTCTTCAGCTCGCTTTTCAGGAAAATAAAGACAGTGACATGGACCTTCAGAGAGCGATCCCCACTCCCATTCACCCAACAAACACCCAGCTCACTGCCTCTGGATTTCTTCTTTCACCACAGCTATGTTTGTTATGTGCAAAAGTATTCTGTTTCTACTACTTTGTGTAAAGGGATTTTCAATAGAAGGGAAGTAACAACATCAGAAAATACTTCTACCACAGAGGTTTCACTCAGTAAACAGGTGTCTGGGAGATTATCTCGCCAATTTAACCAAAGCTGCAAACACCACAACGGTTCTGGGATGACTAAAATCCCCCTTTTTTCAAATAAAAGCCTTTTATCTGCCAAGCGACACTTCCTGTTCTAAAGGCTATTCTCCTCGGTGGTTGTCAACTATGTATTAATCTAATTCATATAAGCCCTAGAAATAAATTCTTTCATGTGCAGAATCTTTTGGGAAACTGATTCCCTGAGGCTTTAGAGAGCAATTGTTGCTTATCACCGTGGAAATTTCCACTGAATTTAAAGCCTGGTAACAAGTTAAAAAAAGATACATCAAATTCTTCAGTGATTAACAAGTTTCCCAGTCTTTGTCATCCTCAAAGGATTTTCATCTGATCGGTAGGGAAACGGCTAAAAATGAAAATAAAAGGGAAGTGATCTGACCCAGTAAGGCAGCTCCTGTGTTCCCACTCCTGGCCAAAATAATGGCACTCACTTCTAACAGTCCCTTACAGGCAGCAGCAATATCAAACACCTTGGGCTTTATTTAAAGGACAAATGTGCTGCCAAAGACAAACACCGCTTAACTGCAAGTGGATAGTTAAACCCTCCCTACAGAGCTCTCCTAACAAAACCACTCTGTGTGTGGGAGAGGCAAGCTCTGCCAGAGCACTTACAGAAAAGCAGGTAATTGAAGTTTTTCTACATTCAAACTCCATGCCTGCGCAATAAAAACCTGGTTTTAAAAGCGCCATAAAGCAGAGAAGTTTCCTGATGCCTGGCTGTCTGTCACAGCACAGAAACAGCCCTGCTAAAGCAGCACTTTTGTACCTTGCTGCACACCGTGGGCCTGTGATAAACGGCACTGCAGACACGCTGAAAACCTCCCCGTGACCGGGGCTCTCAATCCTCCTCACAGCATGCAAAGAGGAAAATAAGGTATTTCAGTGACTGGGAGCAACCTTCAGTGGGGATCAGCTTCAAATCAGCCGAGATCCATCCCACATCCCCGACATCTTTGTGTGCCAGAACCACGCCCGGCCAACCTCCTTACCTGAGGATGAACTGATCCACGGTGGAATTGTTGGCAATCGTCACGTAAACATTCACAACCTCGCCTTGCTTGACGGGCTTGGAGGGCAGCCACACCACAACGTTGCTGTCCAGCCGCAGCTCCGTGAGCTGGGAGGCCTCCTGGCCACGGTAGAGGCTGACAGAGCCAATCCTCTGCAGGTGGGACATGCTTTCATCCACGCCATCCTTCCCGGGCCGGATGGCGTTGCCCTTGCGGAGATCCTCGGCCGTGCACTCGCCCTTCTCGTCCCCGGGCTGCACCGTGTAGTAAAGCTCCACGGGGCTCCCCTCCAGCTGCTCCGCTGGCTTCTTCCGGCCCGTGAGCACCGTGGGGGGGTTGAACCAGCTGGGCAGCAGCTCCAGCTGCGCCACGCAGAGCCCCAGGTCCCCCCGCAGGCGGCAGCTGCCGCGCACCTCGCGCGTCTCGCGGAAGGCGAACACGCGCAGGCAGGGCAGCCGCTCCGCGGGGCTGTACTCGTCCCAGTCCCTGCCCACGATGTAGAACAGCACCTGCACCCGCGGCTTGCTCAGGTAGATCTTGCTGCTCAGGATGTAGGCCTGCAGCTTCCAGTTGTAGGTGAACTTGTTGGCGGATCCAAAGGAGCTGGAAGTCAGCAGGAGGTCCTGGGGCACTGCTTGCTCCACCGAGAAGGGTCCGTAGCTGGCGTTTAACACGGGCGGCCTCTTGGCTTTGTAGGGGAAGAAGGACTCCACCCTGGACTGCAAACTGGAATTTCTCATGAAGTCCTGGTTGGCTTCTTTGAGGAAGAAAGACGTCTCGGCGTTGAAGAGCCGGTAGCTCACAGGTAGGTACGTCGGTAATGAAGAAAATCGCTGATTATTGTCCAAGACCCCTCGGCACTCTGTCACTAATAAAAGAAAAGGTGAGTTAGACCAAGTCTGCTTATGGAGTCAAAGGGACACTGAGCACAACTTCAATGTTTAGTTAGGGACAAGCATTATTCCATGCAAAGAACATTGACATGTTTAGATATAGATAATTCTTTTCTGTACGATGTTTGCAAAAGAAAATAAAATGCAGCATGTTAGGAGAGCCCAATGACCAACAGCCCCAGGGCTGCCAGTCACCAGCCCTGCAGGATCAAAGGGAGCTTCTCTTCCAGGTGCAAAGAAACTGCTTTTCTCAGGACACACACACACACAAAACCATTTCACTCTCTGTGTCAAGTAACCTTGCTCTTGTATTATTGTTCCTGGCACTAGAGTCCAAATCTCTGTGGTAAAATACGGACAATTTCCTATGTTCTTAAATGCAGATGGACATCACAACCCAGAAGTATTTCAGCAAGTACAAATATCTAAGATACACACAGAGAGAACCAGCATGTGCTGGACAATTTCAAGTTTCAGCTGAACATCAGATCCCTTTTGATCTAAATGTTTTCCTGTTAAGATTAACAACAAATTGCTGAAAAGCAAAATGTATTGTCTAAATTAGGGTAGATAACAGTGGAGAAGAGTTCAAATACATGTTGATTATGTCATACAGCTTACAACCCCTCTCCTTAACCCCTGCTGAAGGGATTTACCACAGATACAAAAGGTAAATGCATCTAGTGCTGGACTTCTTGAGTATTGAAAAAACAGAGCTTGCCCTCAGCTGAGGGCCCTAAGGGAATCCCAGCAGAATGAGGAGTTAAGGTTCTGTGTAGGTTCAGCTCTTTAAAGAATAAAAGTAATCACAAGGACAACACAGAATGCAGAGATTAATCTGGACCTCAGAACACCTGAGGATCCCAAACCAGCCCACAGAGACACTGCTTTACCACCTCCCTCACAAAGGGCTGCAGCCTGGGGAGCTCTGCAAGTCACATTTGCTGCCCTGGCATGTCTGGCTGCTAACGTGCTAATTATGCAGTCAGATTTAATTAAATGTTTTCAAGTAAGGAGTAAACAATCGATACCTGTCATGACACCAAATGGCTGCTGACAGACAACCCCACTGCAGTCCTGTGGAGTGGGCAGTGCCAGAGTGCAGGGAATGAAGAGCTTGGGGAGGCAGGTGTGAGGTAACTAAGAAAAGAAGGAGACAAATGTAGAGGAGGGGGAAATCCGAACTCTCAAAGGACAGCAGCCATAAATTTGAAATAAGGAATTAAGATGTGTTCACTCATGTTTAATTCATGAGCCGCCATGGAACTGTTCTCCTAACTGAGCAAACTGCCATGACTGGACAGAAATTTAAACAAATCAAAATGAAAAGGTAAAAAAAGGAAAAGAAACAGTGAATTAGCAGCACAACACCCTCTCTGTCAGGCAGAATCACATTTAAAACATAAAACATTGGTTTAGCCCACTGTTACAGCCCTGCAAGTCTCCAGTCCTTGGCACACAGTTTAATTCTGCTGGAAAAGATGTTACAAGTGCCACCTCCTGAGCTGATTGATTTCCCTCACCTGAGTCTGTCAGGATTCCATCCCCAGGTATTCTAACACTTCTGAAAGGAACACAAGGGAGATTCACGTTGGACCACGGACCTTTCAAGGGAAGAGGAAAAACCTACAGATTTCTTTGGAGTTTCCTCTCCAAGCCCCTTCAGCCACCCTGGATGAGCCTGCTGGGATGTGCTCACCTCCCTGCAGCCCTGTGCAAAAAGCAGCCACCAACATCCTCTGGGACAGATGCCCCCATGGTTTTCAATGAAAACACCTGGCTTGCTGGACAAGAATTCCTTGGGGGCCAGTTTGGCTCCTGAGTCTGACTTGGTGACTGCTGAGAGTTTCTTTCATAGGTGTCCTGCTGCTCAGCCGTGCTGCCAGAGGGCAGGGCTGGGCTTAGGGGAGGCACAGGAGCTCTTGGTGAAGGAAAGCATAAACTGGTTTAAGCTCACAAGTTTTCTGAAGGGTTTTTCCACGACCAGGGATTCTCCAGACACGGCCCCATCACTTCTGAGGGAATCCCTGCCTTCCACAGAGCCACACAAATCAGAAATAAGCTCAGCAGGCTGCAGAGACAAGTGAAGTCCTGTGATTCCAAAGGGTTGCTGGTCAGGATCTAAGCTAGAGGCTTAGCAGCTGTTTTTGTGCAATTCCCAGGACTTTTGCTGCAGCACATTACCCTCAGACAGACAGTGGGCTCATTTTTGCAGGCACTTCATTTATCCTGGGTTAGTCACATGCAGGAGGTATGCAGGACTTGGCCCAATATTAAGAAAAACAGTCATGCAACTTCTGCCTTAAGAAGCTGAACACAAACAGCAAAACCCATGTGGCCAGACTGACAGCAGAAAGAAAAAAAGCCTCACTATTTTTTTATTGTAGTCAAAAGATTTCCACCCACTTTCATACCATACATAATGGATTCCTATATTTCTATACTGAAGGCTGTACTTTAGACAATTTATTTAAGCACTTTAAGCCTTTTACTGATAAAATTGGTAGCTAAAATTGTCCATTTTATTTTTAGAATACCAACACCATGCATCAGCAACTGCAGGCCACCACTTAAGGGACTTGTTCTATTCTCTTCATCTCTACCCAATAACTTTCACATCCTGGTATAATTAATTACCTGCATTTCCAGAGAACACTTTTGTATGCTTAATCAGCTCCGTTTCAAAGTTCTTTAATTTATCAGAGAATCTATTTAAACAAGATGCCATGGGTTTTCCTGAGTTTCACAGCACAAGTTATTATTTTAAATAACCATTAAGCGGTGTTTACTTTTTCGACCTGAAAAACTAACTTTTAAAAAGCAGCTCTGCCTGAGTGCTTTCAGGTGCTCCGGAACAGATTTCTGCATTTTAAAATGCTTTACACCCCTTTCCATCACCCAACAGGAGTCACAGCTGCCCAGATATGAAGTCCTGCATAGAAAAGGTTAACAACCATCAAACAAAGCCAGTATTAGCCAAGAACAAAAGCAAAGGCTTACAAGTAATTATTTCTTCTTTGTAACTGCCTGGTGACTTTTTAATCCTTCTTCTGGCATCATATGCCTGTGCAGCACTTCATCTGAACCCAAGCAGGCATCTGCTAAGCACATCACTGGCTCCAGTGTGACAGAGCAGCTCAAATTCCTGCAACCCAGTGAGCTCATTGGATGGGAAACAGTGACTTCTGATCTGTAGTATTATTATTAGTTCTTGGATTCCAGCATAAGAGGAATTTTCTTTGGGGGTATTTCACATGGAGCTGGATTCACTGGAACAGTCATAAAAGCTTAATGTCTTGGAGTTGTTATTTTAGGAGGTTGGTTTGAAGTGACTTTCTGTTGGGCAGGGAATGAAGGCTTTAGCTCGTGGGTGGGAGATTACTGGCCAATGGCCACAGATCTTCAGTGCCTGGTGCTGGATGAGCCACTGAGCCTTCAACCATCTGCCTGTGCCCTCAGTCAGAGGTTCTGGGCCAGGGAAGCCGGTGAGGAGCAGAAGACACGGGCCCATGCAAAGGAGGAGTGATGTGAGAAGCCTTCCTGCACCTTGTCCGGCCCTCAGAGGCACATTTATAATTGTCCTTGCAGGACACAGGCCAGAGGAAAAGAGCTGAAGAGATTCCAGTGCCTGTGTGTCCTCCTGGAACCCCAGCACAGCTGCAGCTCCCACCAACAATTCTGTAACTTTTAAGGCAGGATCTTCTCCCTCCTTTTTCCAACCACCTTTCCTCTATTCCTGAACCTAGCTATCATTGAATGCTGCACCACACTGATTTTAATTTTTGTTCCACTTCCATGCCACCAGAGTTTTAAGAAATAAACCCCACCTTATGTTATTCACAGCACCACCATCACCTAAAACCCTGCAAATGCTGTAAATTATCATCCCTGCTCCTTCCATGGACACCCATTCCCACCTGCCCCTGCACCCAGATGAGCCCCTGACACAAACCATGCCCTCACAAAATCCCAGCCTTGGATTCTCTTCTGACTCCATCTTCCCCTACAAACCTGTCCTGCTCCTGCAGAGCAAATCACATATTCCAGCTCAGGAACTGCACAGCAGAATGGAAATAGGGAAGATTCTCTTCAATGAGCACAAATGTTTCCTTCACCCAAAATGTCAACAGCTCTGTTTGCTGGTTCATTTTCCCTTAATTTTCTGTGCCAGCACCACACTCAGTCACATTTAAGGGCTTCACAGTGTATGAAATCTTTGTAGCAATGTTTTGCTCAGAACTAGAGCTCAGCAAATACATTCACTTAGACCTCAGGATGACCTTAGCTGTGCTCTCATCCCCTCCAAGCCCCCTTTTCTTGCCTTCTAGAAATAGGAGACTTTGCTGATGGAAAGGCTGAGTGGAATCTTAAACCAAACAAGCTCAGATTGAGGATACGGAACAGATTTTGGACTGTGAGGTTGATAAAATACAGCAACAAAGGGAGCAGTGGCTCAGCCATTCACACCCAGACTGATTCCCCCCTGATAGGCACAGCTCAGACTCTCACTCCCCTCTGGCTTGAAAGCTGCAGCTCTGTGAGCATTCCTAAACATCAGCTGGGGCAGGGGACCTGCAGGAGCCCCAGCTCCTCCTGGGTGCCCACCAGAGCTGCCTCCCCATCCTCTGAGCCACCACAGGGACTCTGGGACCAATTGCACACAGGCAATGTCAAGTGTCAAATGCTCATGATGACCAATTTGTCAAGTTAAAAATAAGCTCTGCAAACGAATCTGGCCAAGAAATCCACAGAGCAAACATTTGAGGGAAATTGCAGCCTATTACCCAATGTTCTGTGAGCACCTGGTGAGGGCAATTTCATCAAACAAAATTAATGCTAACAAAATTATTTTAGGAGGTTTT